TAAAAGGTACCAGGGGCATTTCATGTGGCCCCCTACTGGCCCTGGGCCCTCAGGCAGTGCCCGAGTGCTCGAATGGTCAGTCCGCCCCTGGCTCGACCTGTAAGTTGTAGATACAATAATACATTAAAAAAGAAAGAATGTGGTGTACCTAGCACATGTGACACCCAGAGCAGATTGGTGGTGTCCCTCTGGAGTGATCAGTGGAAAGAATGTCTTGTCAAATTGGTGGCCAATGGAAAGAATGTACCTTACATCGGTAATGAGTGAGAAGAATTTCCCTACCTTACAGACAGCAAAGAAAAATTTTTGGCTACCTTCGAGACAACAAGAGAAGCTCCATTGAGCTCATGCCACTGGCCCTGCTGAATGACATTGGTTCCAGACCGATGCATCATTTGGGAAATCAGTCCAGCACTGTTCACTGTTCAATGAACCCCTAGCGATTTCTATCAGAAAACCTAGGGTTTCACAAAATCCTGGTTGAGAAAGAATTGCCCATCTTGTAGTTAACAGCACATGTGCTGACAATTTTTGTAAATTTACTTGTGCTAAGCATGAGAACATTTAAAAAAGCTGTCAAAGTAGTAAAAGTAGTAAAGTGCTTTTGGATTCTTGGTTTTAGACCTAATTAGAGGTCCTACCTTCATATAGAAAGTAGCACAAATAGGACTGTCCAATTTTGTATGTTTCTGGGTTCCTAGAGCATTATTTGTGTAGATGCAAAAGAGAAAGGTCAAAGTTTTGGCTTAATGGAACCTGTGTGTGTGTGGTCAGCTCTCATCATCACATTAGTTTGCATAACTTTTTTCTATTCCGATTATAACAATAGCAATGTTTGTGCTTGGAATATTTATTCCATGCATTTGATTTTTGGATCTAGGTTGTAATTTCTTGATACACAAAAAAGGAGTGGGGGGGAAGGGGGGGCAGTCGTTGTTGGGTGTAGTGGTGAAAACATCAATGGGCATCAAGGTTTTTCCCATCAGCCTTACAGGTTGCTCCAAATAGAGGTAAGACCCCTGCCCAGAGTTTGGCTTTAAGTACATGCATAGACACCGCCGCACTGCCCGAACAATGCCTTCATCTGTTTTTTTCTCATCAGAAGGATGCCATAAACTTTGTTCACTTATTGATCAGGGCCAGCATCCTCTTCATGGATGGAGATGATAAAATCATGTAAATCATGGGTGCCAGTGCATTTCCTGGGCTTGTACAAAAATATCTGACACATATCAGTCTCTGCTGAAACCTCTCCCCATGTGACTTGCTACAAAATTATAACAGAGTATATAAAGAGTAGTAAAAAAGCGCCTTAGTATAAATAAACAAGCTGCTATGCACAGAATTAGGTACCAATAACCTATGGAAGAAACAATGTATGTGACAAGTGCAGCGCTCGTAGCTAATAGAATGGATGAAATACAATAACATAAATCAAATTGAATTCAAATAAAGGTAAAAAGTAGTCCCATAAATATAAATAAATCAGGATAATAAAGGTGACTTCGTTGTCCAGGTAGAGGTGGTAATGAAATGCGCACTCACCGGACGCGCATATTAAATGCGCCTTGTATGTAATAATCCTGATCTCAGGTGATAGGAGGTCTTCCTTCTGTTGGAACCCAGATGAGCTGTCCTTCTCACTCAGATATGCCTGTGTGGTCCTGGTGGGTGCTGTCACTCCACTCCGAATGGCCTGGGTGGTATGTGGTGATCCGTCCTAGCAATGGACCTGCAGGCTAGAGTACTCCCCCCCAGGGGACAACAAGGACACTCCCATAGTGTAGTAGGTTAAACTTTTATTAAAAGGTGCATCACATAAAAAGTGCAAAACGTTGCAGACAGTAGTCTGTAAGAGGACTGACCAGCTGGTAATAAGTAATGGCCGCCGGAGCTCCACATTGCTCCGGCGGCGTGACGTCACGGCGTGGTGTGGCTCCTCCTGATGCGTATCGTGCTCCTGCACGTCTTCAGAGGGGGGTCGCCAATCTTGGCAATCAGAACCTGGAGATGTAAACTCACGTATATATATGTGATTTTGCACAGCCGTGATGCCCTGTAGCAGTATTTCTGCTATAGGGCAGTCGGAAGTGGTTAATAATAAAGAATGCATAACATCTTCAGGATATTGTATATTCCTTAAGTGCTGCAAAGTTACTATAAGTTCTGTGTTACTCCGAGGTATCCTTTGAAATGCCATAAGTACAGCTAGGAATATATGAAGCCAGTGGACAAATTATTTGCTTCATGTTTAGTATAAAGTAATATTTGAGTATGAACAGGTGAAACTCAAAAAATTAGAATATCGTGCAAAAGTTAATTTATTTCAGTAATGCAACTTAAAAAAGGTGAAACTAATATATGAGATAGACTCATTACATGCAAAGCAAGATAGTTCAAGCCATGATTTGTCATAATTGTGATGATTATGGCTTACAGCTCACGAAAACCCCAAATCCACAATCTCAGAAAATTAGAATATTGTGAAAAGGTGCAATATTCTAGGCTCAAAGTGTCCCACTCTAATCAGCTAATTAAGCCATAACACCTGCAAAGGGTTCCTGAGCCTTTAAATGGTCTCTCAGTCTGGTCAGTAGGAATCACAATCATGGGAAAGACTGCTGACCTAACAGTTGTGCAGAAAACCATCATTGACACCCTCCATAAGGAGGGAAAGCCTCGAAAGGTAATTGCAAAAGAAGTTGAATGTTCCCAAAGTGCTGTATCAAAGCACATTAATAGAAAGTAATGTGGAAGTGTGAAAGAAAAAAGTGCACAAGCAGCAGGGATGACCGCAGCCTAGAGAGGATTGTCAGGAAAAGGCCATTCAAAAGTGTTGGGGACTTTCACAAGGAATGGACTGAGGCTGGAGTCAGTGCATCAAGAGCCACCATACACAGATGGATCCTGGACATGGGCTTCAAATGTCGCATTCCTCTTGTCAAGCCACACCTGAACAACAAACAGCGTCAAAAGCGTCTTACCTGGGCTAAAAAAAAAAACAGACCTGGTCCAAAGTCCTCTTTTCTGATGAGAACAACATTTGCATCTCATTTGGAAACCAAGTACCCAGAGTATGGAGGAAGAATGGAGAGGCACACACTGCAAGATGCTTGAAGTCCAGTGTGAAGTTTCCACAGTCTGTGTTGATTTGGGGAGCCATGTCATCTGCTGGTGTTGGTCCACTGTGCTTCATTAAGTCCAGGGTCAACGCAGCCATCTACCAGGAGATTTGGGCGCACTTCATGCTTCCTTCCACAGACGAGTTTATGGGGATGCTGACTTTATTTTCCAGCAGGACTTGGCACCTGCCCACACTGCCAAAAGCACCAAAACCTGGTTAAATGACCGTGGGATTACTGTGCTTGATTGGCCATCAAACTCGCCTGACCTGAACCCCATAAAGAATCTATGGGGCATTGCCAAGAGAAAGATGAGAGACATGAGACCTAACAATGCAGAAGAGCTGAAGGCCGCTATTGAAGCATCCTGGTCTTCCATAACACACCTCAGCAGTGCCACAGGCTGATAGCTTCAGTGCCACAACACATTGAGGCAGTAATTGCTGCAAAAGGGGCCCAAACCAAGTACTGAGTACATATGCATGCTTATACTTTTCAGAGGTCCGATATTGTTCTATGTACAATCCTTGTTTTATTGATTGCATCTAATATTCTAATTTTCTGAGATTGTGGATTTGGGGTTTTCATGAGCTGTAAGCCATAATCATCACAATTATGACAAATCACAGCTTGAACTATCTTGCTTTGCATGTAATGAGTCTATCTCATATATTAGTTGCACCTTTTAAGTTGCATTACAGAAATAAATGAACTTTTGCACGATATTATAATTTTTCGAGTTTCACCTGTACATTATTAAAGATTATGGATGAAGAATGCATATACAGAAATTTTCCATATACAGGCTTTGCTCTGCTTTCTGAACTGTTTTAAACAAAACATGTTAAAATAATATACAATTTGCTTATTTAGTAATATTCCCGGTGAACATCAACACATTCTACTAAATTGTTTCCAGCTTGTGGTAGAATGAATCTCGGACATTGAAATGTACATAAACATTATTTACTGCAAGGTTTTAGTCTGGGTTTTATGAAGTCTGTATTCTATAACAAACAGCACAAGATATACTGGCTGTATATTTTTCTACATGAAATCCATGCCTTTGGAATCATGAAATAGCACTTTATTTGAGGTTAAGCTGTTTAAGAGTAAGGAGTTGTAGGTGCATTCAGGTCTAATATGAACATGAAAATGTATCTGTGCTCAGATCAAAAGACTGCAATACATTTTATTAAACTTTGAATTGTAATCTAATCTAAATACTTTGGCTTGACCAACAATTCGAGTCTGGATGACCATTCTTATCATTTAGCATTATCTACATGTGGTTCTAATAGAGAACAGGTGTATTGTACATACCGTATTTTTCCCTCCATAAGACGCACCTGACCATAAGCCGCACCTAGGTTGTAGAGGAGGAAAACAAGAAAAAAAAATATTCTGAACCAATGGACTGCAGACATAGTACAGGAAATGACCAGAGACTGCAGACACAGTACAGGAGATGACCAGAGACTGCGGACATAGTACAGGAGATGACCAGAGACTCCGGACACAGTACAGAAAATGACCAGAGACTGCAGACACAGTACAGGAGATGACCAGAGACTGCAGACACAGTACAGGAGATGACCAGAGACTGCAGACACAGTACAGGAGATGACCAGAGACTGCGGACACACTACAGGAGATGACCAGAGACTGCGGACACAGTACAGGAGATGACCAGAGACTGCGGACATAGTACAGGAGATGACCAGAGACTGCGGACACAGTACAGGGGATGACCAGAGATTGTGGACACGGTACAGGAGATGACCAGAGACTGCGGACATAGTACAGGAGATGACCAGAGACTGCGGACAGAGTGCAGGGGATGACCAGAGACTGCAGACACAGTACAGATGACCAGAGACTGCGGACATAGTACAGATGACTAGAGACTGCGGACACAGTACAGATGACCAGAGACTGCGGACACAGTACAGATGACCAGAGACTGCGGACACAGTACAGATGACCAGAGACTGCGGACACAGTACAGATGACCAGAGACTGCGGACACAGTACAGATGACCAGAGACTGCGGACACAGTACAGATGACCAGAGACTGCAGACAGAGTACACACATGACCAGAGACTGCGGACATAGTACAGGGGATGACCAGAGACTGTGGACCTTTGGGGAGGGAGGGGGAGTGGGTACCCAAATTTTGACAGGTACCCGCTCCCACTTCCACGGAGTTGTCCTCCCTCCCCATCTTCAGGGACACATGACAGGACCCAGAAGACTGCCGGACCATTCACAAAGCACAGTGCCGGAGTCGGGAGAGAAGAATGTACAGCGCTGGACTGAGGAACAGGAAAGGCTCTGCTGCAGAGAAGAGCCAAGCAGCTGGCCTGGTATTCTGACACGGCGGCAGCGGGGATACCGGACCGGCCACTCCCATAAGACACACAGAGATTTTACCCCATTTTTTGGGGGGAAAAAGAGTGAAAAATACGGTAGGTTTTTTGCTTTGCTTTGATCCAAGCTTTCACAAGAACATCAATTTTCAAGAATAAATTTTAGGTAAGTAGCTAGGCCATGTGCAGGCAGGTGCAGTTCATTTTCTCCACTGTGGGTGGTGCTTGAACCAAGTGGCACCACAGCCTGGAGAGGAAGTCCAATGGAAACATGGTTTCTCTATGGTTTCCTGGGTCAATGGAGTAGCATCCTGGTTGGCTATGCTGTGGTCATGTGACTCTTGGAGTCTATCTTAGGTCAGCAAGGTCTATTTAGGTCCCTACCCACCCTGGGTTTGGTGCCATTTTGCAAGTGGCTAGTGTAGGGAAAGAGATCCTGCTTGCTAGGGAGGGTGACTAGCCGTAGAGAAAAGGTTCCTGTTGAGGAGGGAAAAGTTAGGATCTTGCTATCCTGTAAGAAGTCTCCCATCTTGGGACTAGACCGGCCAGGCCGCACCTCTCTCTCTGTGGAACAGGCGCTGTCATCACCTGTTCTCAGCCATCAATGACTCCATTGAACTGTGTGTTATTTCACCAGACACCGTGCCCTACAGCATCCCCAGCCACCGTGCCCAACAGCACCACCGCACCGTCCCAGCAGCACCTCCTGACGCCGGCCTACAGCACCCATCAGACCACCGGGACCACAGCACCTCCAGACGCACAGCCTACAGCACCCAACTGACTTCCATGTCTAGCCAGCTGAAGCACCTCCTGACGCCGGCCTACAGACCATCAGACCACCGGGACCACAGCTCCTCCAGACGCTGGCCTACAGCACCCAACTGACTGTCGTGTCTAGCCAGCTGAAGACCTAGCTGCCCACCACTCTCCCTCTCCTCCCACAGATGAACTCCTCCACCATTGCGCAACTGACTCTCTGTACCTCTATGCCCCAATGTGATACCTCCTACCTCCATCTACCGACCAGCACTCTGCCCACCCACCCTAACATGCCACCTGCACTCCTTTCTCCTCGTACTCTTCTCCTACATTCACAAAATCTCCTCCTTTTATCTCCCTACTCCCCAAAAACAACTATACATCGGACCCGCAATACTACCATCTCCCCACTACGGCTCTCACCACCTCCTCCTGATACTCCACTCTCCCACTGACCCACACACCCTCCACTAACAGACCCACACGATCCCACACATCCCGCTCCCACGCCACCTTTCTCACCCTCCTCCTTACCGCCGGGGACATCTCCCCAAACCCGGTCCCTCACCACCCCACTCATCCACTAGGCACCCTCCTACTCCCACTAACCACCGCAACCTCCTCAATCTTATACCTGTCCCCCTCCTCCCCGCATCCACCCCCCCCACTCTCGGTTGCACTCCTGAACGCCCGATCGGTTTGCAACAAGCTCACCGCCATCCATGACCTCTTTATCTCCCGCGCTCCCTCAACCTCCTAGCGGTCACCGAAACCTGGATCCAGGCCACTGACTCCACCTCCCCTGCAGCACTCTCCTATGGAGGTCTCATCTGGTCCCACTCACCCAGACCGAGCCGTCGTAGAGGTGGTGAGGTCGGCATGCTCCTGTCACCGCTAAGCACCTTCCAGGTCCTCCCAAACCCCCCCTCTCTATCCTTCTCCTCCTTCGAGGCCCACTGCATCCGACTCTTCTCCCCCACCCCTCTGAGGATTGCAGTGATCTATAGGCCCCCTGGTTCCATATCCTGCTTCCTTGATGACTTTGCCACCTGGCTACCCTTCTTCCTCTCCTCTGAGCTACCCACCCTCATCCTTGAGAGACTTCAATATCCCCATCAATGTCACAACCCGGCCACCTCCCAACTCATCCGCTTAACCTCCTCCTTTGAGCTCACACAGTGCACACAGTCCTCCACCCCCACACTGACGGGAACACCCTAGACCTCGTCTTCTCCCATCGCTGCACCCCCTGCAACCTCTCAAACACCCCCTTTCCCCTTCTCTGACCACAACCTCATTACGTTCTCCATCTCCCGGTCCTCTAACACCTCCCCCCCCCCACACGTCAAACAATCACCAGCCGCAACCTCCGCAACCTGGACCCTGCCCCTCTCCACTCTGCAGCTGATCATCTCTACGACAGCATCCTTCCACTGTCATGCCCTGACCTGGCCCCTACTGCGTATAACAACCTGCTATCAGCTGCCTTGGACTCGTTGGCACCCCCAACCACACGCAGCACCAGACCCCGACCGCTCCAACCCTGGCAGAATGACCACACAAAAAAATCTTAAACAACGCAGTCGTGCGCTGCAGCGCCTATGGCGCAAAACTAGATCCCCCCAAGCTTTCTCCCTCTACAAATCTACCTTTCTCACCTACACCTCCTCCCTCCACGCAGCCAAACAAGCCTACTTCGTAACCCTCATTAACACCCTCTCCTCCAATCCCCGCCGGCTCTTCTCCACCTTCAACTCCCTACTCTCCCGCCCCCACCCCACCCAGTACCTCACTCACCGCCCACAAGATTGCCGAACACTTCCAGAATAAAATCGATGCAATCCGTAAGGACATCACCAATGCTCAACCCACCTCCCCCCCTGGCCTCCCCCCCCACCATAGCCCCATCAACTCTCCCCTCCTCTGACCTCACTACCACCCTCCCACCCACCACACCAAACATCCCGCACAGCTTCACCTCCCCTACATTCCACTCCTTCAGCCCTGCTACCTTTGAGGAGGTCACTAAGGTCTTCTCAAAAGCCCGTCTCACCACTTGCCCCCTTGACCCTGTCCCCTCGCATTTCCTCCGGTCACCCTCCTCCTCCATCCTGCGCTCCCTCACCCACATCTTCAATCTCTCCCTCTCTACTGGCACATTCCCCTCCCCCCTAAAGCTCGCCCACATCACCCCTATTCTCAAAAAACCCTCACTGGACCCCACTGACCTGAACAACCTCAGACCCATCTCACTGCTGCCATTCACTTCCAAGTTCCTTGAGCGCTTAGTTTACAATCGCCTATGCGCCCACCTCACCGACAACAACCTCCTTCGATCCCCTACAATCCGGCTTCCGCCCCCCAAACATTCCACCAAACCGCCCTACTCAAAATCACTAATGACCTGCTATCCGCCAAAGCTAATGGACACTACTCTGTCCTCTTACTCCTCGACCTCTCCACGGCCTTTGACACAGTTGACCATCCCCTCCTCCTTAACAAATTACACTCCCTTGGCATCAGAGACTCCGCTCTCACCTGGCTCTCCTCCTATCTATCCCAACGCTCCTTCAGCGTTACCTATAACGCTGCCACCTCCCCTTCTCCCCCTCCCTCTTTCCCCCTCTCTGTTGGGGTCTCCCAAGGCTCTGTCCTCGGGCCCCTTCTCTTCTCCATCTACACCTCCTCCCTCGGCAAACTGATACACTTCCATGGCTTCAACTATCACCTCTACGCTGATGACACGCAAATTTACCTCTCCACCCCTCACCTCACCCCTTCATTCTCCGCCCGTATCACCTACCTACTGAACGACATATCGGACTGGATGTCGCTCCACTTCCTCAAACTTAACCTTTCCAAAACCGAGCTCCTAATTTTCCCCCCCTGCCCGCCACCCCCCCCCCACCCTCTCCATCACGACCAACAACACTACCATCAGTCCCACCACGCAAGCCAAGATCCTAGGTGTCATCCTAGACTCTAACCTGTCCTTCTAACCCCATGCCCAATCGCTGACTACCGCATGCAGGTTCCACCTCCGCAACATCTCCAAAATACCACTCGTTCCTAACCCCAGACACTACTAAACAACTCGTTCACTCCCTTATTATCTCACGCCTGGACTACTGCAACTCCCTTCTCACCGGCCTACCCCAAAAACAAGCTATCCCCGCTCCAGTCTATCCTGAACTCAGCGGCCAGACTCATCCACCTTACCAACTGATCCACTTCTGCCACCCCCCCTCTGTAATTCCCTCCACTGGCTCCCGATTGCCCAACGCATCAAATTCAAACTACTAACACTGACATACTAAGCCATTCATAACGCTGCCCCAAACGACCTCACCGACCTGATACCCAAATACCACCCTACCCGTAATCTTCACTCCTCCTCACAAGACCTCCTACTCTCTAGCTCCCTGGTCTCCACCTCCCACGCCTGACTGCAGGACTTCTCCAGAGCTTCCCCCATCCTCTGGAACTCACTTCCCCAATCCATCAGATTGTCCCCTACCCCTCCTCACCTTTAGGCGCACCCTGAAAACCCATCTGTTCAGGGAAGCCTACTCCACCCTCACCCTCACAGCCGATCCCCTCCACTCCTCACTCCATTCCATCCCCCACAGCCATCTCCTCCTGTATCACCATCCCCTCCCTCCTAGACCGTAAGCTCGAAAGGGCAGGGCCCTCTAACCCTCGTGTATCATGTATTGTTTTGCTACTGTATTGTCTCATGTCTTGTCCCCCATTCTAATGTACAGCGCTGAGCAAACCCTTTGGCGCTATATAAATACCCTATAATAATAATAATAATAATTTCCCATGTGGCGCTCTTTCACACCAGGGTGTTTGTAATGTTGGCATTTTATTCAATACAGTGTTCAAGCTTTACTGCAACCGGACTCTATGGCTGGCCATACATTATACAATTATCTGCAGATTTTTGGTTTAGATTTACCAAAAACCATATAATAGGAGGACAAACCTAAACAACACTTTCAGTTGTATCCAATTAGGCAAGCCCTTGCACTACATAGTTGAAGGTAAATCTAAAGGAAATTGGGCAGAAAATCTGCAGATAATTGTATAATGTATGGCCAGCCTATGGAGGAGATTTACTAAAACTGGAGCACTCAG